CACCAGCACCAGCACCAGCACCAGCACCAGCACCAGCACCAGCACCATCACCATCACCATCACCATCACCATCACCACCATCTCCATCACCATCACCATCACCACCATCACCACCGTTATGACGTATTATGAACATGTGAGTAGTGCACGTCAGCAGCTATTGCCAGATTCTGCCATAGTCCATGAGTTGTACTGGAATCACGGGATATCAAGCTAAAGCCTAGCATAATTGTAGAGTTCCCATCTTGAGTCGACTAGTGCCAACTTATATAGCCTCAAACACTTTCTTCGTTTCGTTTCCCATGCTTGCACTACCCCAAAAACGGCACCCCAAAACGCGGCGCAGGAGATGCTTGCGACTATGAGCCCGCCGGCGAATCGGTGGGATACCTGCCGACAAGATGACAACCAATCTGTGGACATCTGAGCGACTGCTGTTTGAGCACTGCAGCACTGGTTGATGGCTGAAATCACGGGGTGGCAGGTTTCATAGGTGGCATTGATCCTTCAGTAGCGGCTTGCCTTTACCCTGGATTCCAGGGCTTTGCTGAAGCCAAGCCAGGTTGACAAGAATGCAGCTCAACGGTTTTGGACGTTTATTTTATTATATATATTTTTGTTGCAAGGGCAGTTGCTCAAAAATGGATAGACCGGTAAAGGAGCAGTGCTTGAGCCATCTTGATCCAAACCTAATGTTTGGGCACTCAGGTTCACACATCCCCACCTGATGATTCTGACGATGATGATGCAGTCCTCAGGTCGTTGTCTTCGTTTGATTCGTCTACCGTCCTCTTGGAATCGGTCATTTATGCTCTTGTGAATGCAGGCTGACGACAGACCAAGACGTGTATGACATTGGTAGATATATAGATCAACTGCAAAGTTCTATAGACTATATCTGCCTATAGCTTTGTGGAGACTTCTATCAAGTGCTTTGAGGTCGACCCGACCTCTCACAGCTCGAACCTCCCATTTTGGGACCCTCGAGCCGTCTTCGACGCCTCTGTCGAAGATCTCATCGCCGTGCCGCGGCCGCAGGCGGATTGCCCAACCAGCCAGGTTGCCAGAGTTGTCGGGGCGCACAGCCGCGGACGTGGCTTCGGGTCACGTGACCGCGTGGTCGAAGCAAGGTAGTCAGCGGGATGAAAGCGGGATGAAAGCGGGTGAAGACTCACTCAGGCTGCAGGAGTGGTTGGATTGAATGGTTGGCATCAGGTGAATGTAGGTGTTGGGTTTTTGTTGCCGTGGAGAAGATTTCTTGGGAGATCAGGGTGAGATACACAGATACGCATGTTTGAGCTTGTACATAGATGATGGTCATGCTAGTTTAGCTCTGCACTTTTCAGAATCTCGTCTTCGTCTTCAAAATAAATATCTTTCATGGGTTGCCAAACATTTGCCCTGCTGAGGATTCCGGAACCCAAGAACACAGGCGGCCGCAGTTGCGATGACCCAGTTGCACATCAATGGGGTGTTTTACTCATATAGATGCATCATGACTCTACAATACAAAAACATGCAAACACAATATATCATAACACCTCTCCAAAAGGATCCAAGCAATAGGGATCCAGACAGAAAAGGTCGTGTCAAGCATGCCGGTCACCATCTTTTTTCCCCTAAGAACGGTGGGGTTTGGCCGTTTTCATAGGTGGCGATTGCGTCCGGACTCCCAGAGGTTTTGATCGCCCTCCGGATCGAGGAAGGACATGGGTCGAGGACACCCGGCGGGGTGGAAGCCTTCAGTGACAACTGATCCAGCAGTCTGCCGTGATACACCTCTTCAGTCTATGGGGACCTGGTTTTCCACCTGCCAAGTCCAGTTTGGGCTTAGCTGTGCAGTACCTTACGCGCGGCTTCAAAAGGGCTGTTCATTCATCTCCTCTTCGCCACAGTGGTTTTGTTTGGATTCCCATGTGGGACAAACCAAAGATCAAGAAGAGTACATACTGTCCAATTGAGTGTCAAGGTCTCATGGCCATTCAGTCTGATGGCCATTTGCCAGCGATCTCGCTGTTCTTTTTGACGAACAGTGGAAGTTTGACCATGGCCTCCAGGCGGTGCAATGCTCCACTCCACGGTCTGCGCAGCATCTCTTGTATTGAGCATCTGATCTTTATCGTCCTCCCGTTGACTGCCAGGAATCGAAACAAGGACTGACTGGACCTGAAGTTCAATGCTTTGGCGCCCGGAACAAAACACACCAAACACATTCATCTAAAACACCCTAAACGAAAACACACCTGTGTCATTCATCCCCCAAACCCACCCACCATCACCCCGTCCCGGTCGACCGGTGACCGGACCGTCCAGGTGGGTCCTGCCCGATTGGTCCAGGTGATCCAGGCACCGTGGACCGCCGCGAGCCGAAGATGGGAAGAGAAGAGCGATGAGAGCATGGGAATCGGAGCCCATGCCAAAAGACGGTCACGTTTTCGTACCCTGAATTCGTGTTTCTGAATGATTCTGAATGAACTGAATGAACTGACAACGAATGGGGATCCGAAATTGCGGGTCGGGTGAGATCGTGAAGTAGCGACGGTTTCGCGGTTTTACCATCGTCTTTGTTGGTTTTTGAGCGACTGTTTCGTCCAGACAGCCTACCGAGGATGAGAACACTCGGGTATTCACCGTTTTCAAACGGTGAATACCCCAACGATTTTTCTTGGAATGGACGGGGGTCCGGGTCTTTTGGATCTCTTTGTTTTGCCGAAAGAAACATACCACACAGAGACACAGAGCACACACAGAGCATACACAGCAGTCACACACCGAAAGCACCACAGACACCGAACGGACAGTGCAACGAATGAGTTCGAAGAGTCCACCGGTGGCGGCCATCGCCGCCGATTGTGCGCAACGTTCCGGGGACGGACTCGCCCCCAGTGCAACCATTTTGAAGCTGTGCCGTGTGCACGTATTCAAGGCGTGACAGGTCAAGTGCAAGAGTCTTTCTGTTGTTTTTCTTTTATCTCAGCATAGCGGCTGATTGTTCGGGATTTCTGCTCAGGGTTCCTGTTTTCATGTGTCTTACTAGCACATAGTGCCAGCCATCCTGAGTACTAGCAAGGCCAGAGCTACTAATTAAACCCTGAAGTGACTTTGAACTAAGATACTCCACCTTTATGGTTTAATCAGTACTTCTAGTTCTATTTTTTTAAACTAAGACACTCCACCAGGGAAACCTACAACTCCACTGGTCCTTCATCAGACTGGGATCTCGGAGGCTTGGGAAAATCCCTACGACAAGCACGAGAAGTTCTTGAGATTGAAGCTAGAAGCTTACGCATGGCCGATTTTCTATAGTGATGTTGCTTGTGGCATCAAACATGCTGATATGAGGTTTGTGAAACTCGCCATCACCCGTGCTTATATTTTTCTGACATGTGTTGCAGAGGTGTCCTCTCACCTCAAAACACTCAACTGCTTGTTTTTCTTTGCACTCTTGTGTTTTCTCCCCGCGACTCTCTGGCAGCCAGAACATGAATTTTGAGAGTTCATGAGGCTGTGAGCCCTGTTTCCATGTGTGCTGGGTTCTTCACCAGGCTTGGAGAGACCTTGAAGTTGACACATCCAGAGTTAAACATCGATGAGACTTGGAGAGGAAGGAGCTGGAAAGGAGCTGGGACCCCGTCCGAAGGGGAAGCACATTTGGATCATACAGGAATCCGGGATCATTTCCTGTGTTCCAGATAGGGGGGGCCACAGTTTGGCCACAACATGCCACAAGCCTACGGAAGAGTACTTTCCCACCACATAGACTTGTGCCTTCCGTGTTGGAGAAGAGTTTGAGAATGCATGGGAGGGAGGTGGCAAATACAGTGTTTCTGTGAGGAGATGCAAAGGTTTATGCCTGTATCATCTACAAAAGCATACATAACGACAACGGACCTTGACCATGTACATATCAGGAAAGTAGCAAAGCCAAGACATCTTGCTCGTGGTGTTGCTCATCATTTTTGGCATTCGCATCGCACGATTTGGTTTAGCAAGATCCAAGATCCAGCTATTTCGTGCCATGACGGAAGTCCTGCCATTCATAGACTGATTCAGAGAGAAGGGAGATTTTATCCACACATTGAAGGACAGTGCCTTTTGATCAGGTATACAAGGTATGGCGAAAATTTCCGGTGTCATCCATGGGAAATGGACAGAGTCTGACATGGGCGCGCCAATCCAATCTGTTTTTTTTTTTGGGGGGGGAGATCTTCCCTTTGAATAGAGGGCCGAAAAGGAATGACCCCACAGATCTCCTCTGTACCAAAAAAGGTCAGACCACATTGAAGTCCGAAACAAACAGACACCGAAAAGCGGATTTCACTGTTTCACTCTTCAGATCCCTTCGCAAGATTCGTTGGCTGCTTGCGACCGTGGCGGGTTTCTCGCGGTGTGACCGCGGCCAACACTGCCCAGGGCTTGGGACTCTTCGGCGGGAAGAAGTACGATGGCATGGATGGTCCTGCAGGATGGTTCCCTTCCAAGTGTGTCTCTCCCATACGGGAGCCGCACGTCCGTGGCGCCTGCCAATTTTTTTTTTTTTTCGAATCTCATTCACGTACGGCGCGAAGGGCGGAACGTGGATGATCTGCACATTCACCCAAGAACTGCCCAACAACTGGCCAAGCTTGTAGCTCCCCACATGGGCGAAACCGCGACTCGGTCCAAGCCCAAGCCTCATGGCGTCTTCGTGCCACACGCGTCCGTGTCATGGACTGCGTGGGCCGGAGCGGAGCGGACGGGACACCCGGTGGTCGACGGCGGTCGACCGATGGCCAGGTGGTCAAGATGCCGATCTGGCGGGTGGAAGGGCACCACCGGCACTGTTTGGTTGAGAAGGTTTGGTTTGTTTGTAGGGTGAGGAGTCGCGAACAGAGAGCGTCCCTTGATGGCAGAGTGTTCATGGTCAAAAAGTGAGCAGATTGAGAGAGGCAAGAGATTTCCTGAGAAGATTGTTACATTGCGAACATGCTCGGCAGGGGCTCTGCAAATTCGAAGATGACTGGGCGGGGAAACCTGCTGACACGAGCACGAAGTTTTGGAACGTCCACCATCCGATCCCAAGAGGATCCAGAATCCTGAAGGGGTATTTGGTTTGGACACCCAGAACCGGCCATTTCATGACTCCAGATTCAAACTGCATGCCCCTTCTCCTCATCTTCCACAACTTCACCGTCAGTCATGCTGCATCTCGCCCTTCTCCGCGCGCGCACCCCGAGTTCGCCAGTGCCCAGACGGCCGACGGCCTTTAGGACACCTATACCGATCCGGCCACCATGCAGAAATGGTACCACCGGCGCTCCACGGAGGCTGGTCGATCGCCGGGCGCTGGGCGCCGGTGCTGGGCACCCCCACCCCCCTTTGAAGCGTTGAAGGGGCTGAAGGGGGGGAGATCGGTTCCCAAAGGCCCAGGTGATGGATGGAAGTAGGGAGCACCGGAACCAGATGCGATGGCCCGGGATTGGTCGGTCCGTCGGGTCAGACCTTCTTCCCCGTGTGGCAGACAACATGGTTGTCACACATTTCAACAATTTGAAGACAACATTGGACCTATCTCCTGCAGGAAGTCACATCTCAAGGCACACACACAACGGCGGCGCCTGCGGCCGGCGTGGCCGAGGATCGGTAGAACTTCTCAGTGACCCGAAATATCCCCAACTCTTCGTACTCCCATGCAGATTAACATGGAACCCCAAAACCACTGGGTTGTCTTCCACCGGTCAATTCTCAGGTTCCATGTTAGTGTGCGGGAGGGTATAGGAAAGCGCTAGGTCGTCACAATAAGTTCCCCTCTAAACCAACAACATCTATCTTTGTTTTTTCTCGGATTCGGAGACCAACAAAACTCCTTGAGCATCACATCTTAATGTAGACTCTTGATTGATAACCGGAGAGGTTTTACAATCCCAAATGGGTGGGCTTTATTGATCAGGAGTCTACATTCCCCTCTTTTTGGGTCCTGCCATATCTATATCCAAATCAATCCGAATACTATCCACACCCAGCACAAAATTCCACCGTTCGTGTGGAATTTTTGTGACGCCGCACAGGAGTATTTCTTCGAACGAAACCCCACAGGATGGCCTGGCAGCCCAGTCAGATCTCGAAAATTCCGATGTCCACGTGTCGAGTTACGAGTTTGCTTTACGATGTCCACGTGCGTCGTCGATGTTTCCTGGGTGTTCTTGGTCGAGTCGTAGAGATTTATAGGATCAAGAATGGCTGGATGCCAGGCTTCCATTCGAGGCTCAAAAAGACGCGACCGCAAAAATGCGGAGAAGTTTTGATAAACAAACTGACCAAATCCCTTTGAGCCTCCGTTTGCAGCTTTTGAAGGACATGCCCTTTGAGTGCATGCTTCTTCTGGCAGGTATACTCAAAAATTCTTGCTTTGCCAAGCATGTTGGTATATTACCAGTCAGTCAGTCAGTCAGTAAGTCAGGCAGGCAGGCAAGAACGCAGCCAGCCAGCCAGCCAGCCAGCCAGCCAGCCAGCCAGGCAGGCAGGCAGGCAGGCAGGGTATTCCTGGCTTTGCTATAGTGCTATAGTACCCAGAGGAAAAGACATGAAACAACTACTGCTCCCCGACCGCACCCTCGGTGCTCGAGCCGAGGAAGATGTATTTCACCGATAAGCATCAGACCGAGCGAAGGTGGTGGTATCATGAGGCAGGGACCGCAGGAAAAGGGGGACAACGCGCTAGGTTCTCCCTTTTCTTGGAACCCGTTCTGGATGTCACACCCAGTGTGGGAAGAATCTTTGTGGTGTGATGATGAATTATTCGTCTTTTTTGCGATGATTGTGATGTTCGTCCTCCAACTGCGTCAACGGTTTTCCCAGTTAATATCTCCGAAAGGGACTTATCAATGATGCCGAGGCCCTGGGTCCGTTGCCTTTTGTCCGGATTGCTCTCACAAATTGGTGCGTTTTTGGCCAAGTGGCACTCACTGCGGAGGCAGACAATCGTTACTTCTTCGAGAAGTACGAGACCGTGGGGTGAAGGATTCTTGGGAGATTTGCACCAGAAACTCACCTTTAGAGCAGGGCTAATTAGCAAATTATATAATTACATCCCCAATCTTTTCGCGAGGATGCCCTGCAACCAGTTCAATGGGAATCAGTAACGGTCGGCCTTTGGTTGGGTCCCACATCCAGTTTCTGGGGTCTGTATTCCTGTACCCTGTATTGAATCTAGACGATACAAATTGGTTTGGCCGTGTGGAATCCTTGCTCATCAGTCTTCATCAGCGAAAACGTTCGTGAAACCATGCAGGAGTGTCTTACTCTATGTCAACGCTGGAGCAAGCAGGGATCCAATGCTGCTGAATTGAGCCTCCCTTGAGGGCTTGTGCTACCGGTTCCGTGCCCGAGTGACTTGGGTAAGCTCGGAGAGCCAGGGTAGCTAAAACCTGGGCTAAGAACGTGAAGAATAAGTAAAATCAGAAATCCCATCCTTTGGATTCGAAGATTTAGACGGAGTCGCTTGCGTCGACGGACTCCGCAGCGGAGTGCGGAGTAACCGACTGTCTCTTACTCTAACAGCGGTTGATCTGACCAAGGGCCAGGGTCGAAAAGTGAGAATACGACGGGCCTGGAGCGATCAGGACAAGCAGCATGAAAAAAAGCCAGACAGAAGTTCTTTCCCAATTCTTTGTTGAGGAATAGCCCCCCCAAAATGGCCATTTGGCTAGATCAACCAGTCAGACTAGACCGGGTTTCTCACTGCTGTGTGCAGGACAAAAAGATGAACCTGCGCCCGAAACGCTTTGCCTCGTTCGACGAAACACACACCGCTCACCGCATTTTTTTGTTCGGCGGCTCCCAATGTTGCGTCGTATTTCTCCGAGCGCCGGGCGGTTTTTTTTCTCTCTCGGTGGTGGTTGGGTCGTCTTCGTTGGTGGTTGGGTCGTCTTCGGTTGATTCTGTCCGAAGAATTCTGAGCAACACAACAATTTGGTGGTTGGTTGTTCTTCCGATTTCGCATCTTTGTCTTCAACTTCTATTTGCAATGAATAAGTGGGTTTGCAATCTGTCCGAACGCTGTTTCAGCATCTCAATTTGTCTCAATCTGTTTCCCACTGCGGGACCATCAGCGCTGGCCATGCTGGCAGTCTGATCAAACTATGGATCAGCATTGAACACGTAGGAGTCATGACATATTGGGATCAACCAAAAGAGCATAACCAAGTGACCAGGCTGCCACCCGATCAAGCAATCTTGATCGTGTTTTCATCATGTGATTGTGTCACAGCGATTGTGCACCATTCTGTCGCGTGCAGAACAGCTGACTTCGCTTGTGACTTTGCTTCATTTTCTGTCGTGTGCCCTGAATCGCCCTTCACAATGACACCGAAGCCAGGCAGTTTGCGTGGGTTTGCGCTGCTTGGGGGGATGGGCACAGCATGTTTTGGATGAGGTTGAGGTTTGGGATTCTGATCGTCTGGGCACACAGCCAGATCAAGGTGTTGGGAGGGGTTTGGAGGATCTGAAGCTTTCATGTGAGAAAGCTTGACAGATCCGGACATTGACACCTGCTGATATACCTCAATGTTGCACGGTGGAGACCCCATCCGCGTCGGTTTCTCCCACCATTCGAAAGGAGACAAACAGCACAAGACTTGAAGACATACGTACTACCCCTAAGAACCCTTGGGCCCTCCATAGCAGTGGTCTGGGCCCGAACCAAACCCTATGTGTTGGTTCGGGCCCGAATTCTTAGGGTAGCGAATTCCCGTGTACTCTCCGTGGTGGTCCTAGGTGGTGTTGTAGGGTCCTCTTATGTCCTCTTGCACCCCACGGTGTCTAGGCGGCCAGCTCGGTCTAGGCAGCTCTGTCTGGCTGGCCTTTGCAACGCTTCTCGGCCGAAAGGAGGATCGAAAGGGACCAAATGAGCGCAAGAAAGTCAACAACTGCAGGTTATTGGTCGGGAAAGTGGTCATTTCCAGAATCAGATGCCTTTGTAGGGTTGTCACTCAGATCCTCAGAGACTCAGAGTACAAATCGATCTTTATTCTGATGTTGGAGGGTTTGTGTTGAGATTTGTCGAAGTTTCAGTTGGGGACGGACTTCATCGGATAACCATGTCGTTTGGTCTACACAAAGCTAGCGCAGCGAGTGCGGAGCGACGCAAGAACCATCCCCAGACCATCCATGGGACTGGAATATATGCATACATTGCACCCTTTTCACCTCAATGTAGGTAAATCGGATATACATGGATGGTCTGGGGTCTTCCTCTTCTCTATCCAAAGAGATTTGCGATTCACGGAGAACGTTTCCCGAAGACATGCGCCACCCTGCAGGTTCAGCGCACTGGCCGTGGCTTTGCTGCCACATGCCCACAAGGTGAATCTTGAAAGCCCTTTTGATGTACCAAGGAACTTGAACTTGCCTGCTTTGAATTTACTACTGTACATTAACACATTCTTGTATGCAATATCATTCTTATATAGTGTTCAACAGATTTCAACAGTTGGTTGTAGCTGCGTGGACATATTAAAAGATGTTTTGATCTTATGCGGCATTAGCTACTTTCAGTCCTTCATTGGACACTTACTCCTGCTCCAAGACCAGACGAGTCGGTGACACCTTTCTCCCAAAGAGCCAGCGGAGTCGCAGGCATTTCTCAGTGGGCCATTGAAGCCAGTCTCTAGACCATCCACGATAGCTCGCGGAGCAGAGGCGCGACTGACGGACCGACTGACTGGAGACAAGGTCTTCGACGTCGACTCGATGGTTTCGGAGTATTGGATGTATTGGGAGCACCTTGTTGGAAGCACCTTCGTCCAACTTCTTGCAAGTACACCCAAGATTACCATCCCACTTTTGCGGCCCCAACACTGCTGTCCACAGCCGCACACAGACAGAGTCAGGCAGCGGATGGCCCAGTAGGTGATTGGGTCGAATGCGAAATTTCGTGTCTTGGCATGGCAAACTGCTTGGAACCTCCCTGGCAAAAACTTGGGGGAGCATCAGATTTCATCTGAGATTCGCCGGATTCTTCCGGTTTTTCCCGCAAATTGCTGCTCTTAGTTGCTTTTGCAATGTCTTGCTGAAAGTTTGGCTGGGTGGATCGTCAAACGTTGGCTGCCCCCACAACTCCCCCAAGATCGCGGGAAAAACGACTGCCGGAGTGGGTGGAACCCACGAGTGCCGCGGCAAAGCTGTTGTTTTCCTTCCGAGAATCGCCTTATTCAATGTCTCGAACATGCCAGGACCCAGCATATCAAGAAACGGCATCCGGCATTAAGGAAGGTTCCAAATCCAAGTTGGAAGGGGTATTTTTTCACCCAGCAGTCTCAGTGGACCACCACTCCTTGAGTCGCGATACATCGCGCTCCAAAGTCTCGGCGACTCTCAGGTACACGCCCAGGATTTCCGTCCATCACACTGTGGTGGAGCCCCGGCGAAGTGAGACTTGGCCAAGTTGGTTCACCAGAATACTTCACCGGCGAAGATAGGTCGACCAGTGACGTCCCTGAATTAGCCTAGGAGATTCTCAGGCCCCAAGGTTGAACACCTATAGAATAGAACAAGTCTTTGAGTCGATGGAAGAATGGATGCTTTGTCCCACCAGATTGCATGTATTACTGTATCCATTTGCATCATTTTGCATCCATTTGCCAGGGTCAGAAAGCCTTTGTGCTTTTATGAAGGCATCAGCTTGGGTCGCCTAAGCAATCAAGTTGAAGCGTCCACGTCGCTGTGGCTATCTTCAAGCAGCCTTCAAAGAAGGCCCACCTACCTATTCAGAAACTTTTCGGCCCAGCCTTGAATATGCTGACTCGATCTTTCAATGAGAGGACAATCCAAATGATAGAACAAGTATATTATATAACAGGACCATCCATGGTGATATTGACTGGATCTCGCTGAGCAACATCTAGTGCCTTTGCTTTGCTCAGCTCAGAGAAAAGAACACTGTGCCACAGAATGGTCAATCTGACTCACCGTCTTTGTGGTCCTTTTGCATCGTCTGAGTCATGTTAGCCGACAGCTCAATGCTGGACAGAGCCAGCTCACCATCTTCGGCCTTCCACTTGCCTTTGTGCAGAACAGTTCGCTCGAGTGTGCCATCCGAATGGCTCGGATTTCGCTACGGCAACTGCGGCTTGTTCTATCTGAAAAAGGCCTTTGCTTAAGTGAGACGCTGCAGGTTCTGTCGGTTCTGTTTCCAGACCAAACCAGACTCGGCATGGTTTTCTTCTTTGCCTTTCCGAAAAAGTCAAGCAGGCCGATCGCTTGGTTCGTCCGACTCAGATCGTTTGGCTTCGGCTTGGCCGGGCCCCACCGATCCGTTGGTCTGGTTCGATGGTTCGATGGTTCGATGGTTCGAGGAGAGAGGAGCCAGGTGGGGTGGAAGGACGATGGGTGCTGAGTTTCTGGATCCACCTGAGGTTTGTGAGTTTCAGCATCCAGAGTTGCTGTGTGGAATTTTACGCACCGCAGCGCGTGGCGACCCGCGACCCGCGACCCCATCCTACGGACTGGTTTTCGGAAGTTCTGACCCATATCAATGGAGCATATCTTAAAAGATCAAGAACCACCAAAACCCACCCAGAAACCACATTCCTCCAAGAGACGAGCCATTGTTCGAAGGTGTGGGAGAGAGCGGCTACAGTGGCTTTTGTTGGCTTTTTTCATCATAGTATTCTTTTCAGATGTTAATTTGTGGATAGTTGGTGTTGCTGATGATGCAGTTGATACTTCCTGCATTTTTTTGCATCGCGAAGTTGTAACATGCCCAATGTTGAGAAACGAAGGAAGCTTTGCTTTGCTTTCATTCTGCTTTCACACAGAGCTATGGGTTCTTGGCAGAGATCCCATGGAATGGCTCCAGTGGCGTCCATTGGGCATTCACTCTACTTGGATTTGTTTTCTTTTCATTCTGCTTTCATTTGCTGTTATCTGACAGAGAGCCACCAATGGTGTGGTGAATATGCTAACAAACTCAAGCGTTTTCCCTTGGCCTGATAGAGCCATGGATTCTTGGAAGAGGCCACGTCGGCTGGCTCAACAAGCGAGCAATTGAACCGGTGGGTTTGTTTTTGCTTCATGTCGGAGTAGGGCAACAAAGTCTTACCAGAAGCGTTTCCTATTGACCTGCTAGAGCTATGACAATCCACTCACTCAAGCGCTTTCACTGTCATTTGGTTTCATGCTGCTTTCACTTCTTATCATTCTCGAGCACTTAAAGGGTGGGGTTTTGTTGCATGATGGAGTATGCTAAGTCCATGGATGTGTTTGCCGCGCCCCAGCTGCCTGCGCAAAACATGTGGCTTTCGTCCCCCCTTCTCAGGTCCCCAGAAACTCTTGTGAGCGGTCTCCTGAACTTTGTTGAGAAACTGCAACGGTTGCCATCCGGCACTGGAACTCAAATGCTTATACATATTATATAGTGATCTGGAACTCTTCCGGAGCTTGGTCCATCTTCAGACATCACAACACAGTGAAAACACCATCCAAAAAACATACTTCTTCCATGAAACTTTAATCCCCTGTGCGTTTCGACCTAAGGCGTTTCGACCTAAGGGCCCCCAACATCGAGACAGCGTTCAATCTTGTCTATTCAAATAAATGTTCCAATTGTTGATGTACATCAGGATCGTCTCATGTCAAACACTGTCTATGGATCTGGTTTTGGTGAAGTCAACATGAAGAAAGAGGACTCTAAAGAGGACCAATGTTTTCAGCATTAGAATTCAACCATCTACGTCAGCCGGCCATGGAAACAGTTTTCACAAAGGACACTTTTCCTCGGTGTGCGCCATGAAGCTGTCAGAATGCTTTCTGATGAACGGACTGTTGACAGGGATTCTTTGCCGCAAGCTTCCTCATCTGAGATGCGAAACTTCGGCGGTTTCCAATTGGCTTTCCGAGAATGAACCTTTGGTATCGCTCATAGATGGACCTAGCAATAGTTTTTCTGGCCTTCTGTCTTGAAATGTCTTCAGGGTCGACTTGAAGCAACACACTCGAATGAGATGCGATTGGGAAACCTGGGCTGGGGGGGCGCCCGCATATTCTCGGAATCCAGCAGCATGACCTCGTAGTCTTAGCCAACAAAGGAAAGTGGATTTGAGCAGCTTCCTTCCGCGCCGGGGAAGCCCCCATGCATTCCCTCGGAACATCCATGAGCTGGACCGTAAGGTGCCACTCGTGTGCAGCACCGGAGGAAGTGATGACAGTGAATTGGTCAACATCACCGGCAGCTTCTTGGCCCTCCGATTGAGACTGAAAAGCAAGCGAAATAGCCTGGTTAGACGAGGTGAGCTGGACAGAAACTGAAGGCCGCCTACCTCTTTGACGTCTTGAACGAGCGGGAGCCCCTACTACTTGCATACTTGCTCAAAGGTTCAGAGAGGTTTCACAACAAACGTTGCCCATGACTTGTGTTAGAGATCCTTGCTTTAGGCCCTCCAACGACAGCGTCGTCTTCGTTCCGTTGAAACGGCGTCTTCGTTCCGTTGCGTTCGAAACCTCACGCCGAGCAGCCCGATGAACGGGTTTATGGAGGGCGTGGATGTGGAGATTCTTTTTTCAGGCGGCTTTGCTTCCAAAGGCCGGGTCCTCTCGGGGTTTTCTGGGCATCCTCCCAACTCTGTCCAACTCATGGGTGTGGTTCCTCACCGACCAAGCCACCGCGTCCAAACGACCAAGCTACTGCACCGCCAAACCGAAGTGCAATGTTTTGGCGGGCCCTTTGAAGCGAGCTACGAACAGATCGGAGTCCACGATCAGATCACAGCCGGGCTTCATAAGAGCAGAGAAAGCGCGGTCGGTGTGCTCCTCAAGCCTTCGCGGCACCCTGCTCCCACCTCCGCAGCTTGATTTGTCGGGAGCGGGCGAGTGGTAGCGGCGACGTGGTGATGGGTGTGCTTTCGAGACTGGTCACCATCCTGGGTTCAAAGAGTTGGACCTGCGCAGATGGTCTCTATACACGCCGAGCAGCTCAAAATGAATGATCAAAAAATCAGCTTGCAAACAGGAGACAGACTGTGGGTTGCCAAGGTATGGTTGCACAAGAGAGATGAGGACATGATCACTCCCCATTGAGATGTACCTATGAAGACCATTTACTTTCGCTTGCCGCAGAACTCTTTTTCCGGTCCTTGATACGCTCAAACAGGGCAAAGCTTTCGATCTATGCCTGAATAGAGGGGGGGACAGATGGCCATGGGGCTCGTGACAGTGCAAGGCACTTGGGCTGCCATGGCCCCTTGTTGGTAGATAATCAAATTAGGCGCATTTTTTTGGGAGTGCAAAACTAGCAGTTGCAACCAAACAGGAGAGAGGGTCATGGTTCTGGAATGGTTTATGATTCTGATCGTGATTTGAGCTTGTGCCTTGGTGCGAAGCCTAGCAGTTTTCGAGTCAGTTTGTGGCAGTCTATTTAGAAGGAGCCCCATAATAAGAAGGGATGAATCATCATGTTCTTAGTTCTTAGGGAGTTCCACTCGCATGGGGCAGAGGTTCTGCTCTGGTGTATGGATTGCCGAAGCTGACAAGTTGCAAAGCAATGCATCAATGATTTGCCTCTATCACCACTTGACTTTCAGGACTTGCCAAGTGGACTTGTCACCATCCTGCCTGGTTTAAATGGAATGAGCTTCTTTGGTTGTTTATACACATTCCGAGAATCTCAGAATACATGATCATGTGCAAAGTCAGCTTGCAGCAGATAGACCCTGCGTTGCCAAGGTGAGGTTGCACAGGTTGCAAATGGCAATATATGGGACTTGACCACTCCTCACTGAGACTGGCATGATGCCTTGTCGGTCAATCAGTGGCAAGATTGCCCAGAGAAATTGTGGTAAGTCAAACGGCTTGGGTTAAAAACAATGGCGGGTGAGCACTTGCTCCACTCCCTGTCCCATACCCCATGCCGTACCCATGAAGACCATTTACTTTCGCTTGCCACAGAACTCCTTTTCCGGTCCTTGATACGCTCAAACAGGGCAAAGCTGGAACTAGTTTCGATCTATGCCGGAACAGATGGCCATGAGCCTTGTGACAGCGCAAGACAATCATGCTGCCATGGCCCCTTGTTGGTGATAATCAACTCAGGCGCCTTTTT